ATATGAACCTATAGCACTGGGGACAGCATGCACGAGACCCATGCAAAGTCAAGCAGACAAAAACGAGCATAGAGCTGGGGCAGGAGGCCCTAAAAGGGTACATAAAGCTTATAAGAACCAGGGGTGGTGCGTGACCATAAGGGAACTTGCTCATATGAACCTATAGCACTGGGGACAGCATGCACGAGACCCATGCAAAGTCAAGCAGACAAAAACGAGCATAGAGCTGGGGAAATGGGCAGGAGGCCCCAACCTTAGCTGAGGAACTATTGGCAGCTGATCACTGCTGGGTGCAGGAGAGTTGATCTTCTTCAAGGGAGTGAGGCTTACATAGGCTGACCAGCCTCCTTTGGGTGAACTCACAGTGAGGGCCATCTGAGAATGCAAACTTGGTTCAACAGGTTTTCACATATGTGACAATGCATGAAATCTGGTGGGCAGGCTATGGGGGTTACACATAGGGAAGGTGCCTAAATATGACTAAGATGTATTGTATGACAGGCACAAAAATTTAATAAAAATATACATTTAAAAAAGCCTTTCTCATTTGTTACCGTTATGATCTCCGTCTTCAGGAATTCTATTTTGCCCCTATTTCTGGCTGTGCCTGTCTTGACTTCTCTAAGATGATATTTAAATGGTCAGAAGAGTCCTTCCCTCTTTGCATTAAAAGTTTGCAATGTAAAATTATAAAACAGCCCTTCAAGAGATTAACTCAGTTTTCACCTCTTGACACCAGATTTCACTGTTTTGACTTGCTTTGGACAATGAACCCTTAGCACATGTGACCAAGTAAATGAGCCTTTCTAAGCAGTTGGAATTTTAAGGCTTTCCAGAATGTCTAAGCAAGGCCAACAGAAAGTGAGAGGCCAGAGAGAGGAGAGTGGCGAAATGCCAGTCAACATGACATTCTCCCCACAGCCGGACAAGGAGAGGCATCTTGGCTCAACTCGCCACCTGCTGATGGGCCACCTGACCATCCCAGGCACTCTAGGGAGCCCAGCAGCACAAGCTTAAGCAGTCATTACAGAAACACATCCAGAACCGGGAGCTAAGTAAAACTGCAACTCTTTAAGCCTCTAGGTTTCCTAAGTGACGTGCTGGGCCCACTCCATGACTTCATTTTACTTTCTTTAACAAGAATCACTGCGTTCTGACAGCTTAGAATATTCTCAGTCATACTTCTACTAGTTCCTGTAACTTCTTCCTCTCTATTATCTTCTGGAATGTTCCAATAGATATGCACAAACATACATTACAAGCATACATACATATATGCAGTGAAAATCTGTTTAAATATATCATAAATGCACACATACATATATACTTGTCTGTACACATGTTAAATAGATATGTAAATAATTTGTATTCATCTGTCTTTTCTACATTTTACCTTTTTCTTCTCTATCTCTACCACACTATCAGGGTGATTACCTTGCAATAGTTTCCATTTCATGAATGTTCTCCAACCTATATGCAGATTCACTGCAGTATTTTTTCTCACTGGATGACTGGAGTCCCTGACTTCAAATTATATACAGAGCTATCTATAGTAATAAAAGCAATTTGGTGTTGCCATAAAAACAGACACATTAAGCAATGGAATAGGACCCAGAACCTAGACTGAAGTCCATACACTTACAGCCACTTGATTTTTGACAAAGGGGTCAAAATACATGTTGGAGAAAAGACGGCATTTTCAACAAATGGTGCTGGTCAAACTGGATAGCTACATGTAGAAGAATTAAATCGGATCTGTTTCTCTAACCCTGCACAAAACTCAACTCCAAATGGATCAATGGCCTCAACACGAGACCGGATATCCTGTATCTGATAGAGGATAAGTAGGGAACACATTAGAACTTACAGACACAGGAAAAGGTTTCCTGAACAGGACCCCAATAGTGCAGGCATAAAGACCAACCATGACAAATGGAACCTCATGAAACAAAAACGCTTCTATATGCAAAGGACACCATCATTCAAGTGAAGAAGCAGCCTATATAATGGGAAAATTCCTTTACCAGCAATGCATCCGTCAGAGGGTTAGTATCTACAATACACAAAGAGCTCAAAAAACTAAACCACAAAACCCAAACAACACAATTAAAAACTAGGGCAAAGAACCAGACAGAGTTCTAAGAAGATGAAACACAAATGGCTGAGAAATGTTTCTTTAATGTTCAACATCTTTAGCCATCAGGAAAATGCAAATTAAAACCAAATGGGATTCTCATCTCTAGAGTGTTTCAGTTCAAGTACTCTTGATCAAATTTATCATTTAGAGCTACCACACATTTCTTAATGTTTTGTTTCTTCAAATATTTTAAACAGAGGGATTTAAAATGTTTTGGATAATTTAATTTGTACAACCCTTGGGGATTATTTGAAGAATACTTTGCTTCTTCTTGTCACTCACGATGATTTATAAACTCTGTCGTTTTTTTTTAAATTGTGTTTAATTGAATTTCATTTTATACACTACCTGAGAAACTTTTGGAAACCCACAGCTGCAAGGCAGGGAACAGCCAGCCTCGTTAAGAGACTGTCTCCCCCTCCCAGCAGCCATCAGTTGCCACGATTTCCTTAGGTTAGGTTGGGGTTTCTTACCCACTTCTTTATGTCTATGCTGGTATTGTGTCTGGTTTGAGCTCACATGGGACTTGTGCCTGCTGTCATCATTGCTGTGGCTTCATATGAGTAACTGACCAGCTGGCTGGAAACTGTTTCCTTCTGCTTCATCCACCTCCTCTGGCTCTTACGATCTTTCCCACACCCTCTTCCATAATGGTCCCTGAGCCTTGGAAGACAGAAGTTTGATACAGGAGTCCCATTCAGGGATTCTCTGTACAGTGGTCATCTGTGGGTCTCTGTGTTAATCACTTCTGCTACATGAGGGAGCTTCTCTGGTAAGAGTTGAGAGATGAACTAATCTATGACTATAGCAATAAGCCATTAGGCGCTGATTTAATACTATGTATATTTAGCAGAAAAATGGTAGTAGGCTCTTCCCTATGGCCCATCCAGCTGCAGATTTCTCGGCCTGATACCAAGATACCAAGATCAGGACATGCCCACTGGTACAAGGCTGGCACAAAAGTTATGAGAATAACCAACTATTCTATAAACTCTTTTAGCAATTTAATCTGTGGATATCCAATGAGGTCACTATCAAAGGTGACTTCAAAGATAACTTGTATTCTTCATCAGGAATCCCAAGGTTGCAAGACTTCATTAAGCCTAAGGTGAAGCCTACGTGATGGCAGGGCTGAGGTTTCACTCTCAGAAAGCATTCTTCTCATCTGGAGAGGAGGGGAGGCAGACAGGTTCCTGGACCACCTCGCTTTGCTAGGTAGTACACTTCCTCTGCCTCCCCCTTTCACTGAGCTTATGTACTCTCCCAGGTCCTAGCTTTAATTCATACACTTCCATTCCAACTCCCCAGCATGCACAGGATCTAAGAAACTTCTCACACTCCACACAGACTATTGAAAGTCAAGTTTCCAACCAGAAATTTGTATAATTGGTAAAGGTAAAGAAAAATTACTTATACCATTTGTAAAATAATTTGGCAGTTTTCTATGAACTTAAATATCGATTTCTGACTTAATAATCACACACCTACATATTTACATAAATGAAACAAAAACTTTGCTCACATAAAAACCTATCTGCAATTGTTTCTAGTAGCTTTTTTTGTGTGCTGGAAACTGAAAATCTATCAATTGAGGAATGAATAAACTCTGTGACCTAGGGAGCTTTACTTGTCAACATGACACAGCCTGAAAAGTAGGCTCAGTTGAGGGGTTGCCAATACCAGATTGGCCTGTGGACACGTCTATGGGGGACTGTCTTGACTGATGATTGATACAAGAGGACCCAGCCCAATGTGGGCAGCACCATCCTTGGTAAGTAGTCTGAGATGTATCAGACAGACAGCTGAGCATGATCCTGTGAGTGAGCCAGCAGGCAGTGTCCCTAATGGTTCTGCTTCTGGTTCCCACTTGAGCTCCTGCCCTGACGTCCCCCCATGATGGACTCTGACCTGGAACGGTGGGCCAAATAAACCCTTTCCTCCCCCAGTTGGTCATGGTGTTTGTCACAGCAACAGAAAGGGAACTAACACACGATGGTGCGTTCATGTCACAAACCCAGAACACTGTTCAGTAAAAGAATAAAAGTCAACAACCTACGAACAAAACAGCATAGGAGAACCTGAAAGTGCCTACATAAACAAAATTCACGTGCAGACATAATCCCATTTATAGAACATTCTAGAAAAGCAAAACGAAAGAGCCAAGAAAAGATGAGTGATGTGAGCAGCTTGGGATAAGGAGGAAGCGTCACCACAAAGGGCACAAGGACATGTTCTGGGAGGCGTTGGAGTGAGTCTTCATCGGAATAGCAGCCGTAAGGCAGAACTAAAATTCCAAGAACTCACAAAGCTGAGCACCGAGAGAGTAACATTGACTGCATGCAAATTACATCTTAATTTCTTTAAAGGAAAAAAAATTAAGACTCTGAGTCCCTGAATTGGAATATACCCTTCTGTGTTTCTCTCTTCTCTGTATCCTAGGTCCCTATAGATTCCCTTTCTTGTAGGTGCAATGATGAGGTTTAAAAGATTTCACTTGTACTTTATACGCATTTTGAATCAGGGGGATTTTTAGAGTATCCAGTCTGCCCCATTGCCCAAGGCAAAACTCTGTCATTCTTTAGAGAACAAGATTATCTTAAAATTTCATGGTGTTGAGTTTTCTGTTCATTTTATCACAGTTACTTCATGTTCCTAAGAAGTGTAATAATCCGGTTACTACATCACCCACTTCATAGATGAGAAAACAGAGCTGAAGGAAGCTGAGGTTCGCTTCCTGTGTACGCAGACATCTGTCCCAGGCTGAATGAGCATCCAAGCTGGGAACAGAACCCATTTTGAATAGGATTTTATTAACTCCCCCAGAATAAAGCGTTCAGTGAGATGCACCATAAGGATCAACTAATTACACCCTGAATCGCCTAGCAGGGCCAAAGCTGAGTGTCTTACTCAAGAGTCGCACAACATAGTGAGCTACGTGCCCCTCGGGTAAACCTGGGCTCTCCTTCAGAGTTGTTTTAGCATGAAGTGCATTAATCTGTGGTGAACGCAGAAGCACGTGGTACGCAGCACGCATTCAGTAGGCATCTGTCTGCCAGCACAGTTCTATGCACGCCTCCCACAGCACTGGAAACTGGGCATTGCTCAAAATACAAGGAAGTCAGATCTTACTTTGAAGAAGCCATGCTTTTGGCTGCGTTGACCAAGCCATAAATTGCTTCCTGGAGGAAGGTTGGTCTCTGGAGGGTCTATCACACGCTCATAGATCCTGTAGAAAAAAGAACACAGTTACTAATAGAGAGGCTCAAAGCAGAACCCAAAGGTACTGTGCTGTTGTGCACTTGTTAATAGCTGCTGGGGTGAAGGGGGCCAAGATGTGCCAGGTTTTGAATGACAGGGAATGACAGGCAACATAGCACAGAGACCTGCCCCCCAGCAGCACCAGGCACATTCTCTAGGCCCTTCCGGACTTTCTCATCTCCCTTATGGAGGGGAGAGAATAAGACCGCACTTGGAGTGTCTGCTCTGAGCAACAAACCCTGCACAAAATGGAGAGAAAGTGGCTTTATCCAAATGTTACAGGAGGAAAGTGAGGTGCCGCGTGTTAACAGGTCAACCAAGCCCAGACAGCACTGGGATCAAACCCGCATCTCTCTGACGCCACCACCCACCTGCTTTCCTTGGCACCTGCTGCCCCCTAGCTTTGGAGGTCTAGCTCCCTTTCATTTCTACAATAACCCAAGAGGGTCCCTGATGACCATGTGCTTTGTCTACAGAATCCAGTAACCGAAGTCACCACCTAAGCACAAAGCATTTATTAAACGCTTCTTTTTCACCAAGCTCTTCAGCAGGTAACAGGAAAATAAAGAAAGGAACGAGACACACACGGTTCTACCCCTGTGGATGTATAATGACACCCAGGCAGACTCATATAGAAGAGGAGCCTAAGGAACCACTGCCTGCCTCAGTGCTCGGCCTTACCAGTTAAAAGAGTGAGAGATCTTTAAACCTCTGCTTTCTTTGGACCGGCTGAACATAAGCATGC